TGAGTTCAGTACCTGGCATGGTAGAAAATGAAAGAGAGAGAGAGAGAGAGAGAGAGAGAGAGAGAGACAGAGAGACAGAGAGAGACAGAGAGAGAGACAGAGAGAGACAGAGAGACAGAGAGACAGAGAGACAGAGAGACAGAGACAGACAGAGACAGACAGAGAGAGTGAGACAGAGAGAGAGATAAACAGAGAGAGAGAGACAGAGACAGGGACAGAGACAGACAGACAGACAGACAGACAGACAGACAGACAGACAGACAGAGAAAGAGAGATTCCTAAAGAAGTGATTGGGTTTTAGGCCACTAAATGGATTAATGCAGGAGTCCTAACCCCTGGGCCATGATACCAGTCCAGTCTTGTCAGGTATTGGCCATACAGTAGGAGGTGAGTGGCAGTCCAGTGATCAAAGCTTCATCTCTATTTACAGCTATTCACCATTGCTTAGGACTTGACTGTATAGGATTAAGCTACTGACCATGAAGGGGCCTCTAGCTGTGTTATAAAAGTTTATATTCAAGGGGCTATTGAGATAGCTCAGTGGTGTAATCACCTGCCTGACAAGCACAAGGACCTGGGTTTGATCCTAGTACCGCAGGCTGTGTTGGCCCTGGAACCCTGGGAGCAAAAAGCCAGCCACCAAAACTAGGCATGGTGGTGCATGCCTGTGATCCCAGAGCTGGAGACCTGAGACAGGAGCATCACTACAAGTCCTAGCTGTGTAGTAAGACCCTGTGCCAAATAAATGATTTTAAAACTAATTTTTTTTAAACAAAGCTCACATTAACAGTGCTCTGAAGACAAAATAACACCATAGCTGAGGCAGCCAAAGACACAGACTGGCAACATTCACTATTCCAGAGCAATAAAACTGCGAACTGTACAGATAAAGCAGTTCTCTTAATTATCAAGATCTACTGCCTGAGTTCTAACGTCCTTCATGGGCTTTCATAGCCCCCACTTCCTGTACCCCCTGAGTCCGTAGAAACCCAATAAATATGGTGATCTGGAAAACTTATGGTCTTAGCACCCAAAGAGTTTTGACCTTCTGGGACTCTATAAACCATAGTTACATTTATCTTTATTTGATCTTTTTCCATGTACTTATCCATAAAATGAAAAGTCTCCTCAGTTCCTGACACCCCATGACTCCCGTTACCTTCAAGCTCTGCCTCCTATCACAGCAGGGATGACATTAGATTCTCCTAGGAATGAAAACCCTATCACGAACTACACATGTGAGGGACCTAGAATGTACACTGCTTATGAGAGTCTAATGCCTGATAATGTCAGGTGAAGCTGAGACAGTGATGTACTTGGGGAGTAGCAACAAATATAAACATTAGCAGAGAGATTTTAATGCATAGCTACCATAATAAATCAATTTGTTGCAGACTCATATAAAAGCCCTATTAGTGAGCGGCAAGTGACAATTAAGCTGTATCTAATGGAAGACGAAAATCAGAATCCAACATTTTTAGCAGTCTGCTCATAGCCCACCAATTATTTTATCACCACTTCTATTCATGGGTCTTTCCTGCACTATGTACTCATCAAGTCATACTTTTGGCAAATCCACAAGTTAATCTTTACCAACATAAGTAAAAAACAAACATCATAGGAGAACTCCTTTGAAAATGGGAAAGCCCCAATGATGAGGCAGCAGAAGACTCTAAGATTACCAACAAAAACAAGCTGCATTTGAAAGAAAATAGCAAAGATCTTACCCAAATTATGGGTTCATTGCAACAGGTGATTCACATTCTCCAAACCCTCCTTGTATAATATGTAGTGATCGAACAATGCCATGAAACCTTCAAAACTGCTTTGCCACATGGATACCAAGTACTCTGCATTAAAAGACAAGCCTCAGGTTGGCCAGATCGCACAGCAGATTAAAGTGCCTGCTTAGGCAGACACAGGGACTGGGATTCGATCCCCCCTTGTACCATGCTAGCCCTGACCCTGGGGCTTGCTGAGACAGAGGTTGAAATGGGGCATGGTGGCACATAAGCCTGTAATTCCAGTGCTTAGGAGGCTGAAAACAGGAGAATCACTATGAGTCTGATCTGTGTAGTGAGACCCTAAAGACCCT